CACTGCTATTCGGATCTGCAACTGAACATCACATATTAATCGAAGTACATTCTGCTGAGAAATACCTGAATGATATTTTCACCGTCCGTAACTGGATTGCTACATATCCGCTATCTTTCCGAATAGTGGCTTCTCCAGTAGGCATCTTCCACATTTCCAATTACGTGGGTTATATTAAGGACCTTGAAGGTCAAACAATAATGTACTGCTCGGATCTAGAACAAAGTATCAATTTCGAATTTGAATCGTGAGACCTACATAGAATATGAAAAGTCTGGATATTGTTTTCAACATTCGTAACTGGAACGCGATATATTTTTGTAATTCATCAACTATCTCAATGAAGACAAGGCAGGCAGATAAACAACAATTTTCTCTGCAATGAAGAACACTGTATATACCTAACCCACCATATGCGCCTACCTCCTTTGCAGAGAGGGTTTATAAACGCCGAGTTGATACTCTCCCCTCGTAAGGGTACCTGTCGTGTTTCCATAGAGACATAAAGGTGAATATCTGTCTATCTGTTTCCTTGAGAATCTGGAAAGGATATCAATATATCGCCTTCCGTACGAATTTAAGGATCTGAATTCTGTAAAGTATACTCTGGTTAGTTCACTTCGCGGATCTTCTGTTCGGTTCGTCTTGACTAGTTGGTTTTCTCCGATTGAGTGGCAAGTATCAAACACTGCTTTTTGGATCTGCAACTGAACATCACATATTAATCGAAGTACATTCTGCTGAGAAATACCTGAATGATATTTTCACCGTCCGTAACTGGATTGCTACATATCCGCTATCTTTCCGAATAGTGGTTTTGCCAGTAGTCATCCTCCACATTTCTAATTACGTGGGTTATATTAAGGACGTTAAAGGTCAAATAATAATGTACTGCTCGGATCTAAAACTAAGGATCAATTTCGAATTTGAATCGTGAGACCTACATAGAATATGAATCTATGAAAAGTCTGGATATTGTTTTCAACATTCGTAACTGGAACGCGATATATTTTCGGAATTCATCAATTCATCAACTATCTCAATGAATACGAGGCAGGCAGATAAACAGCATTTTTTTCTGCAATGAAGAACACTGTATATACCTAACCCACCATACATACACCTACCTCCTTTGCAGAGAGGGTTATACATCTATCGCTCCTGCAAATTTCAGAATCCTAACTCAACAATTACAAAAGATACAGGGATGCCTCCATTAGAAGTGAGACGCACTGTGCAATCTTCATCTTGGGTCAATTCTGATCTTGATATCTCTTCATCTGAAGTTTCATCTTCAAAATGAGCCTGAGATTTTAAAAATCGGTTGACAAGGAAAAAAGTTATGACTGCAAAACCTGAAAGTTAATTTTTTGATATCACTCTGTAAGTAGAAGAGATAATGAGACAATTTGAGAAAAGTATCAAGGTAATCTGCTGTCAAAGTTGAAGAAACAGGTTTTTGTTTATTTGGGGTCCTTTGAAAATTCCAACATTTTCCACAGTTTCAGGTGACACCCTGTAGCGAGTTTATATGAAGAACCTCATGCTTTAAAGAAGTACGAGCTTATAGTTGAAGGACTGGGCTAGCGAACAGTGTAAACCGAATTGAAATTGTTCAAAGCAGAAAAAAGTTATTCATATTTTAACAGGGGGGCAAAATTTTGGGGTGCGACAAAATAAGTGTTGCGAAGTTTAAATAAATAATCACCATATCCAGGAATGCGGGCTGGATAGAAATATAATATACAATAGGAAATGATACAATTAGTACAGGACCAATTTCCAATCGAAGTATATATGGAGATAATAAGAGTTTGACACTTCGTGTGTGACCAATTCAAAGAAATTTTGACGACCTCGACAGTTCCTCAGTTAAAATCACAAGTAAAAATTGGCAGTTGCAGTACCTATAGCCTAGCACAGTCAAAAGATCCGTGCCCACTTTCTGCGATACGGATTGACAAATTTTTCTAACGATATTATTTCAAAATCTTTGTTTTTAGTAACCAAATGTTCATTTATATAAGTACAGCATGAAAAGAAATCTTTCAATGATAATAAATATTCCGTTCGCTGACATAATGCAATCTCTTCATTTAAGAAAAATATCTTATTGATTCATTGAATATCCTGATGTATTACCACCACTCTTGGATCATCCCGCGACGGGGTGTTACCATGCCTTATATCAATAACAAATTCAGTAACAGTTAACAAATTATTTAAATAAGTAGATAACCAAACTATTCGATCAGGGCTGGTTGCGTAAAAATAACTTTCTTTCAAATTCATGCAAAGCAATAATAAGAAAATACTCATGCATACTACTAATACGTTCAAAATGTTCCAATATTGATTGATTAGCACCACATGCACCACACAGTTTTTTTGATAACATACTAAATGTTGTATAATGAATGCACTGATAGTCGTCTGCCATTTTTTTCATATGTGATGTCGTACCTTTATAAAATTATCCCAAGAAGCTAATTGTAGACGTAAATATACATGTCCAAATGTAAACAAACCCGCACTGTTATATAAGGGATTGAACTAATATAACCATCACACTTCATAACTTTTGCGTTGGTCCAAATCACAAGGAAATCATCAACGACTTCATAAAGATGCTCACGCTATATAAGGTGGAAGCTAAACTGAAATGATGGCCCATTTTAATTATTACCAAATGAATTATTATAGTTACCAAACGAAGAATAACATTTTTTATCCATTATTGTCATCCATTATATTACGTATATTTATAATAAACAAATGTATCATAATGAATATATAAACACATCACATTATAATTATAAATTCATATCTTATTGATTATTAATTCGTGAATCGGAGTAATAAGTAGATGAATTGTTAATTATTAAATGTTGCTGTTCACAATCAACAAATATGACAGTAATAAATCATTTATTGTTAATAAATAAAGCATGGAAACGGGTACCTACGATTTTGATGAATAAGCCTTTCTAATTATGAATATGGCTAATTAATTATGAACAAATTTGACGTTAACAAATATTTTATAATTATTACTGAGATTTTTCTTTCGGTGTAGAAAATTGGGCAAAATAATAATATTAATATACAAGTTAATCTGAAGAACACAGAATACTACTTTCAATTTTTGGTAATAAAAGTAGGTAAAAGATACCTAATTTGTTTTGATATACTACACTGTTCTAGGAAACGGATATGAGAAAAGTGTGAAAATGTGCGTTTACAATTGAAATTTTTTCTAATATCCTTCCCCTCAAACACGAAATGTGGAGATGGAAACGACATCAAGGGGGAATAGAATCGAATGTCAATTAAACGCCACGATCCGTATGTATCTGATATCTGGGCAATAACGAATAACGATTCAATATTTGAACAACCCCAGTCGATGCAAGGTGATTATCCCTATTCCCAGGGCTGCAAATCAGTATAAATCCAAGCAGTCAAATTGAAACCCGATACGAATCTAAAAAACGTTGCTGGAACCGATAAGCACCTACTCAGATCCATAAATAAGGTCAATAAGGAAGATGATATATTTTAGAACGTTCGTGTTTGATTTCAACAAATTTTGAACCACATGGAGAGAGAGTAGTTTAGTGGTTTGGCTATGCACATGGAGAGCGTATCGAAATAAGCTCGATATACAGGGTGTCGGAAGGAACGCGCCAAACTCCAAGTGTGTATTGAACACTAAAAAAAAATTATAATACCCATCGGTAACTATATACGACGTCTGAGCTGCCATCCTAAAAAACTTTTTTTTTCACGAACATTTGCCTAATTTACAGTTGCTACTGTAAAGTACCACTATAATTTACAGTTGCAACTGTAAATTAGAACAAGCAGAACTTTTTTTTTACTCATCTCCTGAATTACAGTTGCAACTGTAAATTATAGAGTCTCAAAGTCTCAGTTCTCACAATTTCTCACCAGACTCCCAGACATATAGCATATAGGCAGCTTTCATTCTCCGATAGCACGTGATGCATTGAGACTGTGAGACTCTAATTCACAGTTGCAACTGTAAATTAGGAGATATTTTGGAAAAAAGTTCCTTCTGCCTAATTTGCAGTTACAACTAACTATAAATTGAAACAAGAGAGCTTTTTATTACTCATCTCGCCTGATTCAAATTAGGAGATATTTTGAAAAAGAAGCGTCTTCTGCCTAATTTACAGTTGCTAGTATAAATTGAAACAAGACAGCTTTTTCAACACATCTCTTAATTTACAGTTGCAACTGTAAATTAGAGTCTTACAGTCTCATTTCTCACAATTTCTCATCAGACTACCAGACATTGGCAGCTTTCATTCTTCGATAGCACGCGATGCGCTGAGAATGTGAGACTTTGATTTACATTGCAACTGTGAATTAGGGCTATATAACTTACAGTTGCAACTGTGAATTAGTACTGAATTTACAATTGCAACTGTGAATTGGGAGGTGTTTTAAAAAAGTTATCTCTGCCTAATTCACAGTTGCAACTGTACATTAGTGCTAATTTACAGGGGCAACTGCTGTAAATTAGAAGGCATTGAACAAATCAAATTTTTCCTTTTCGGAAAAACGAATGACCCTGTATATGAAGCAACTTCACGAAATGAAATTTTGGGTCCTCTCAAACAACTTATCTTTATTTCAAATTTTTTCACATCTCTGAATACAAATGAATTAATAAGATGGGTTCCATTTTAAAAGGCGCACCCCGCACCCTATATATGTAATAAACTACTAGGAGTACTAGGTAAACTATAATATGAGATTTTTCTATTTAAACTTTATGGTCCTCAATCCAGACATCCAAGAAATCCTTTATTTCTATATAAACGTGAAACAATAATTGAGGTCTCTTAAGGCAACTCAACAGTATTTTTTATATTAAGCTATGCATATATTAATTACTATACTTCAAAACTATATTTTTTCAACGTTTCTAGAAAACATTTTTTTTTGCTAAATACTTTGGTCGCCTCGGCTGAGATTCGTTAAAAAAAAATTAGTTCTCGATCACCAAAGTAGCATTTCGGCCACTCTATGATATTGAAATAATTATTTCAATTCCATAAATATTATCAAATACAACTATTACAAAAAACCCACAAATCCAACAATATAGCGAGAGTGAATGCAAATATAATCATCAACCTCTGCACAACGTCCACAAGGCCACAAGGTTACACACCTCGCCATCTCTTGATTAATGTTGAAACTTAAATGAATCTTTGAGAAAGATGGCTCACCAGTCCCAGCTCCTAGATTTTTTTCTCCATATTTAGCAGACAATGAGCTCACCATAGAGACAGATAGAGATTAGGAGGGTATTCGCGATAGAAAATATCACGTCGCCCCATCTGACGGCAACAACTGGAACACTTATGAGCGGTTTGTCAATTTTGAGGCAATGACCAAAAAGCACAAACAAAAAAGTCTCTGAACAGGCCGCTTTGACAGCTTTCAAGAACTCCGATAGGTGGCGTACGCTTTGTGCGATGAGATGAGTGTAGTTTGACTAGTAGTTTGTTTATGCTCTTGTATAAAGCTGCTGAGGTGGGTTTTATATTGAACTCAATGTGTGGCGAACTAGTACGTGAGGAGGTATTATAGCTCTTGCCTTTGCCTACTATAACCTTAGATACTATAACTACCCAACCACAGTAGAGAGCTTACCTACTGTGACCCAACTAGGTTGTCATCTAGAACACGCAGTATCTATATCATCGTTTCTCCTGTAGGATTGATATACTGTGTCTAGAACGACAATGATTGATGATGAGTTCATTGGTTGTGATTGGTTTTATATGGCTTTATAAAAGGAAGTGTACAGACTAAGATGGCTACAAGGTCCTTGTAGCCATCTTAGTACAGGTACAGACTGTCGACCAATGACCATCTGTCGGCAATCCATACTACGTTCCACAGACTATACTCTTTGTTAAGGATGCCGACCAGTAGACAGAAATTATAAATTTGAGGAAAGAAGAAACATCATTTGAATAAAAAACTTGAAAAAAATGAGATATACTTATGCAAACACACTAACCTATTGTTGGAACAAAAATCTGATCAAAAACATCTTATCAACTAACAATAGAGGATGAAGAACTAGATTAGAAAACAATAATAGGTATATAAAAAGAAAAGTGATGTATACTCAACCCAAACAAACTAACCCCTTGGTGAAGTAAAAATCTGATAAAAAAAAACTATTCCATATGGGAATTTGAACAGGGGACCACAGAATTGACAAACCAATGTCTAACCACTAAGCTACTAATCATCTTCAACCTTTTTGGTATACAGAAATTAATGTATTCCACTTAATGGTTAACTGTTTAGCAGAAAAGAAAAGACAGTTGGCATACTATACTTTCATTTCGGGTTGCCAACCGATTTTATACAGAAAGAATGTATTCCACTGGATGGTCAGCAGTCTAGAGAAAAAGTATAGTTTGCTGACTGGTCCCCAGCCTATACAGTTTATAAAATTGATATAGTGATACACATATCTTCATTCTTCAGCATTAATGGCCATATGATTTTTAATAAGAATAATAGACACCACAAAAAATATAATTCTAAAACAAAGATATTCACTTTATTTCAAGATAATTTTTCCTAGTTCATGTCATGAATTATCTACCTACCAGTTCTTCCATTTTATCCAATCTATTTCAAAAGGGAATATCCACAAATATGGAGACAAATATCATCTTGATTATTATAGAACACAATTCTACCTATTAGTGCATTAAAACTTTTTAAGGGTCCTTCTGATCAGAGCAATCCTCTGCTTATGAGCCTCAGTAGTAGAACTCCTTTTGTAAGGCCTCAGTTCATCAGTACCAAAACCAGGTGTCCACATGTTGTAATTGCGGTTTAGGAATTGCTGGACATCCTTCACATCAATTGTATTAGTATGCCGATTTTTTGCAATGAGTGCAGCTCCATTCAAACAACGATCAACAAATTCATCAACATAACTCAAGATGATTTCTTCCACCTCTTCTTCCAAGTTCAAAGTTTGATCTGTTTCTCGAACTAGATCCTGCAGGCGTTGTTTTGTTAGTACTTGAAGGGGCTCACTAGATGAAGAATTCTGTGCAGCTTGTTTTGACACCATATTGGTATTTTGTACTGGGACACTTTGAGATGCTGCCAAATTGGGTGCTGAAACATAAGACAATGAATGAGATGAAATCATACCTTCATACCTGTTGTGAAAAAAATTTACCTCTCAATACATTATTGCCTCCCATGGTTTCAACCATATTTATTCCTCCCCTGATTTCTCCACTATGATCATTTGAGTTCATTTGACCAACAGAATTTACAACTGCTGGAATACTATTAGAATTTACATTGGTCATAATTGCGTGAGTGAGAGGTACTTGGTTGATCACCATATTCTGTTGTTGCATCAAATTATTTGTTAAATTTGGAACAGACATTTTAAAAGAAAGAGCATCAACAAAACAAAAGACACAACCAAAAACTGTTTTATTTTGACAGTTTTCCTAACCAAACAAAACTTATCTTCTTCCTTTTTTAGATAACAGATAATGTAGGCACAAAGTTATTTTTGTATTGTGTCCTCAAAGGCCAAAGGACTAAGGAAGTATAGTAACGAGATAACGAGAAATTAATAAGAAGAGTAGGAGACTTGAGGTTAGGTTCTTTGTTATGAAAGAACTTCAAAAAAGTATTATATTGGCATTGATTTATGTGTAATGTGTGTCAATCTGTATTATAAGAAAATAATATAACAAAAGGAAAGTGTTCGGGGAAAATATGTAGCTTGAGAATAAACAAATTTTGTGTTGAGTTTTTGTAACTATGACTGGCCCCACACCATCTGATGGGAGCGCCTTAACTTTGGAAATTGGACCCATTGAGACTGTTCATAGATGGAAACGAATGCCTGAATGTGATGAATTTGTTGGAGCAAGGTATAGCACTAGTTTTTGCTGTTTCAACTTATGCTTGTGATTGGAAATGTATCTAGGTATAGGAACAAGAAATAACTATTTTGTTTCAGGAGGAGTAAACATACAGTGGTTGCTTATAAGGATGCCATATATGTGTTTGGAGGTGACAATGGAAAGAGTATGTTGAATGATCTATTAATATTTGATGTGAAGGAAAAAAGTTGGGGTAGAGCTATAGCACATGGGAGTCCACCAGCTCCAAGGTAAGATTTGACAGATTTCCAGATTGAACATGGTTTCAAATAGTCAACTCTTTCTGTTCAGCTTCAGGAAATCTTAGTTTTATTGGTAATCTCATTATTATGATTGTCTGGATTTATGTTTTAAAATGTCAACATCTTCAAGCACATGTAGGATAATAACATATATGATGACATTCTTCCTTGCATTCTCCTGTAGATATATCATTTTAGCTAGGTAATCATATCATCAAATTGAAATTAGTGAACTTGATATCATTGTTATGCTGGGTATAGATTCACTTAAACTTGAATGAGGGAAACTTGTCATTTTTATAGACCTCTAATCACAGATTCTTCCAGAGATTCTTGATAGAGTCTCAATTCAGAATTTCTTTCCATGCCCTGTATGATGAATATCAATTTATCATACACCCAAAAACAATAACAATTAGGAATTGACAATCAATAATCATGAGGTGTTTATACATATCTGATAATAATTAAGAAATGAATGTGAAATTTCTTTTGATTGTAGTTCAAAATGATGTTGAAAAGTGATTTTGGTCTCCACAATTCATGAATCCATTAAAAAAATTTCCAATTGGATATCACTGAACTCCACTTGAACAATAACAAATCCCATCTTCATGTTCTGTGTCCAGAATTTCCTAATTCTTAGTTGTTAAGTTGAAAGTTGGCTAACTTTGTAATTCATAATTCTTAATTTATTTGGCAAATGGAAATGTATAAACCCTCATAGATGATTCCATGTATTTCACTTTTTAAGTTCATATTTGTTAGTTTAATTCTTAGTTGAGTTCTTAGTTTAGTGAAATCTATAAACCCAACATCAGTTTGTATTCCTGATAGAAAATAACACAGTTTGTATTCCTGATAGAAAATAACATGTAGCCCCACCTGACAGCAATTACTTGTACTTTGTTTTGATGGGATGAGGGCTTATATTTTTAATCTCACCAGTTGGGGCCACTAAAATGTGAGGTGGATGTTGAAGTCAAAAATTCAAAAATTCTGCTGGATACCCCAGATGGCTAGGTATGGCCTGTTTTATTGAAAATATTTGTTAAAAATATAATATTAATATTCCAAAAAAAACAGAAAACCTCAAGTTATCAAAATACTTGAGCAGAGACCTGAGTTGACTCACCTTTTTTCTCTCAATGTGGAACTTTAGGACCAATTCTTAAATTGACAGAGAAGAAGATATCTTAGGAAGAAGAAGAAGAAAGGAAGAAGTATATTTATCAGTTCTACCAACTCTGACCTTACATTTTGAAGCTCTCAGTTGAAAATCCCAGTTGAAAAACAAATTTGAAAACATATTTCTTTTATGGCTTATATCAAGCCAAGTATATCAGCTAGGTCTCAACTTCATGGTTTCAATGTTCATGTTAGTTAAAACTGTTTTCTGAAAAGGATTTTATTTTGAATTTTTGAAAGGATGAATAATAATATATTACATGGATGAAAAACCCAAAGTCATCTCCACAACTTTCTTTAAAATGATCAAAGCTCATCATTAAAGGTACATGTGTCAGGCTTTTATAAGCCTTATCAGCAGATAAGTAGTTCAGAGTTCTAGAAAAAAACGGTATTGACTTAGGATATAGATGCAATGATTATTGCCTACTTACATGGAACTGAAAAAAGCTGAAATTCAAATGAAGTATTTCAACTTTTTCCACTTCCATGTATATTCTTCCACTATATCCTATCTATCTTGTTGAAGTTGAAGAAACAGATTCCTTTTATGGCTTATATCAAGCCAGCTATATAATCTAGGTCTCAACTAGGTTTCAACTTTATGGTTTCAATGTTCATGTTTGTCAAAACTGTTTTTTGAAAAGGATTTTATTTTAAAAAGTTGAAATTCAAATAAAGTATTCAAACTTTTTTCACTGCCATGTATATTCTTAGACTATATCCTCTCCATCTATATCCTAAGTCAATACCTATGTAAATACCGGTTTTTTCTCTGGTTTATTCTAGAACTTTGAACATGTACCTTTGATTATCTTTGATCATTATAATAAAAGCTGACTTCAGGTTTTTCATCTATGAACTATACCTCTCCACTATGAGTTACCATGGACTTCTTCCAAAGATTAATGATATATACTTCTAGCAGGAACAGTCCACTTTTATTTCCCTGCAGTCACCTGTATTTGTTGAAAATATTCACTATTATATTATTTGTACCGCCCCAACCTCTATATCTCAGCTATCAGTCATGTGATCTTTACCAATTCTTGTCAGTGTAGAACATCATTTTAGACAGTGCCCTGTGTTTTTATTAAAATGAAATTGCATCAATTTTTCATCAATTCATATGAGGATTTTTTACAGAAAAACTGATCTCATAATATTGTTCTTCAAGATTTAAAACCCCCAGATGTAAATATTCATATGATTACTTTCAAAGGTTTCAAAAAAACAGGCACATCTAAACAGCATTTTTATGACATAATAGGTATTCACTGGGAAAGGGTGAGTTCAACATATAAAATAATACACCTTAATTTTTCTTCCATATCATGATTGTTTTACCTACTGGAACTATGGAACATTCCAAAATTTGCAGTTAATTTGAATTCAATTCACTATTTTTTCGGGATTGAAAATGAAAAAAATTAAGCCAATCCAGTTAATCCAGAATGAGATAATTTTTTGCATATGGAGGTTCGAAAGCATGAGGAACACTGAAATGGATCCGCTTTTATTTCAATGGCACTGCCCAAAAGGATGTTCGTTGCTGAAAAACTGATAAAAGTGAGACACACTGTATGTTCATTGTGAATTCTTTAAAACTAGAACTTCTAGAAGAGCTGATGTTCAATTCAAGAGAATGTGGACTCATTTGTCATGTCTTGAAGTAGCTAAAAAAATGACCATGTGACATATTATGTACAATATGTAATTCAATTGATTGCTGAAAATATAGGATATGGTTCCTCAGCTCATTTTAAGAAGACAAGTTCATATGAACACATTCCCTAAACCTCTCAACTTCAGAACTATAGGGTGTTAACATTTTATTTTCTCTTTATTGATTGAAGAAACTTGTCAAAATAAGACCGCAATGTAACCGATCAAATGTCATTATTTCAAATACAAAATAGGGCAATAGCCTACTAGTTCAAAATAATTTCGTTATGCCACAAATGCATGAAGATTGTTTTTATTTTTTACACGAAAACGGTTCGTCTGACGGAAAAAAATTAGGAGGGCAAATTGTTGCATAAAATGAGGATTTCAAAAATGTTTTTTATTCTCGGAAAAATCAAGGGCGTACAATATTTTTTTCAAAAAATCTCAAGGATACATCCCTTACTTACGCCACTGGTAGATATATTAATTCTGCATCGAAAAATGCCTATTGGTGCTTACTAGGTGCATGTAAAATTTCATGGAAATATATAAACGGTATTAAAGGTATGATTAGAAAACGAATTTTTTCTTGAAATAGTATTGGCTGTATATACTTCTTTCAAGAGATATGAATGAGACTTCCTTTCCCTTTCCAATTAAATATATTCTTCACCAAAATCTTAACTTCTATTTGCTTCGAATCTGTACTACCTCTAGCTTCTAGTAAATTTTTTCAATAGGTATCATCATTCTGCCGTTGTCCACAACACCTCCATGTACGTGTTTGGAGGTTATACGGGAGACATCCACTCCAATTCAAATCTCACCAACAAAAATGATTTGTTTGAGTACAAGTTCCATTCCGGCCAGTGGTTAGAATGGAGGTTCATGGGGAAGACCCCTGTGCCGAGGTCTGCCCATGGAGCCGCCATTTTCGATGACAAGCTTTGGATATTCGCCGGTTACGATGGCAATGCCAGATTGAACGATATGTGGACCATATCACTCACTGTACGTGCAAAAATAGACCCAGGGGCATTTCGCTGGTCAAGATAATGATAGATCCAAATGATATACCCTCAAAAATATTGCAATTCAACTAAGTTCTTTACAATTGTGAAATAATCATAGAGTCTATGCATATGCTTTTTTGGTTGTCATACCATTTGATTGACAAGTAACAAATTAATTTTCCAGATTAGTTCAATTCTCCCATTCATATTGGAAAAACATGCGAATTCCTTCCTGGATTATTTACACTAGGGTCCCTTGATGGAAATTGACATTAAAGTCATCTTAACAGGGTACGGACAGATCATAGCTGCATTCTTTTTTAATGATCTAGAGACTTAAGTTATTTTGTCCACTGGCTTCCCTGACATTGCTGTCACGTCACTTCCATGTGCGCTACAAAAAATCATTCAAAATTTTAATAATATGTATGTACAAAGTATTTACTTGTTGAGGAAGATCATATGGCGAACGAGTTTTGTAATTATGATCCGATTCTATTCAAAATTGGAAGGTATCTGGGGTGTTCCGGGGTTGGAGATAATGATTGTTTCGTCAAACTTGGAAAATTCAAGATGACGGATCCAATATATAGGGAAAGACATTTCTAATTATGATCCGATTCTATTTAAGATTGTTATCTGAGGGTTTTTGGGGTCGAACTTTATGATTTTTTGTTAAAATTTGGAAATGAATATCATAGCTATCTACAACCCAAATAACTCTAATGAGCAAGTGTATAACACGGTAAACCTAGTAGAAGAAGTATTGATGAGCCTGGGTCACAAAAAGACTGTCCTTATTGGAGATCTAAATATAGATTTGTTGGTGGATAATCATAATACCCAACTCTACAAGAATACATGCTTATCAAATGGCTTTACATTCTGTAATCAAACAATCCCAACAAGAGGGTCTTCTACTTTAATTGATCATGTTTTAACTAATGCTCCAGACCTGTTTACTAATCTGTATGTGGTGAAAAATGAAATAAGTGATCATGATATCCAAATCATACAAGCAAAGATGGAAATTGATCTATGTACTGAAAAAACTATTCTGAAACGTTATGTCAACTATGAAGGAGTCAGAAATAACCTAAAGCAGATAGAATTTGAAAGAATGGGCTATCAAACGGTAAATGAAATGTATGAGATGATAGTTTCGTGTTTCACTAACAATACAACCTACAGTAGAAAAACCATAAGGATTAACAAAAAATCTAAACCCTGGATCAATGATGAGGTTATACATGCTATAAAAAGTAGAGACTACTATTTCAAAAAATGTAAAAGTCATCCACAAAATGATTACTTGAAGACCAAGCATACAGATGCAATCAAACAAGTAAAAACATCCATAAAATTGGCAAAAATATCACATTATGAAAAGACATTTCAGAATACAAGTGGGAATATGAAAAGAACTTGGAAGGTTATAAATTCTATCATTACAAATAAAGAAACAGATGTTCCCATTCATGTACCCTGCTTAAGAATCAATGATAAAACAATTACTGACCCTGTCGAAATATGTAATGAGATGAACAATCATTTTGTTACTGTAGGAAGTAAATTAGCAAGTGAAATACCCAACCAACACTTAGATATCTCTCTGGAGAAACAAGTATGCCAAAGCATGTTCCTTGAACCAGTGACATCAATTGAAGTAGAAAATCTGATTGCAGATTTGGACTCTAACAAAGCAACGGGATGTGATGATATAGATGTTCGTTCTATAAAAGAGTGCAAGAGTGAACTAGCAGAAGTTCTATGCCATGTGATTAATGTATCGCTTGTTAGTGGTGAGGTGCCAGATCTAATGAAAATGGCGCGTGTAACGCCTCTTTTCAAAGATGGCGACTGTGAAACGCCGGGTAATTACAGACCCATATCTATTTTGCCAATTTTATCAAAAATTATTGAAAAAATTATAAACAATCGACTGTTCAAATACCTGCATAAACAGAATATTTTGTACTCTCATCAGTATGGCTTTCGCAAGTCCAGTGACACAGTCTCAGCAGTTGTAGATACCATAGCTGGAATTCAAAGTGAACTTAATAATACATCTAAAGCTGCACTTGTGTCATTGGACCTGCGCAAGGCTTTTGATACTGTTGATCACAACATTTTACTACAAAAGATGGAACTGATGGGTATTAGGGCCACATGTTATAACTGGCTGAAGAATTACTTATTGAATAGAAAACAATGTGTATCCTTGAATGGTGCTACTAGTTCAAGCAAAATTGTATCTTGTGGGGTTCCACAAGGTTCAATTCTGGGCCCTACTCTATTTTTAATTTATGTAAACTCAATGGCTAATTTAGATCTGAAGGGAAAGATAAAATTGTATGCAGATGACACATTATTAATTTATTTTGGGGACACAAAGGAGTCCATAAGAGAATCTATTGAACATGATTTGAAATTAATAGCAAACTGGCTAATAACACATAAGTTAACTCTCAATACCGATAAATCTAGTTATATGTTTATATCCAAACGAAAAGCTATTAATGATAGCACTCCAATTATATTTAATAACCAGACTCTGAAATATTCTGCAATCACCAAGTATCTCGGTATCTATATTGATGAAAACCTGTCATGGGAATACCATATTAACAAACTTATAAAAAAAATACGAGCACCAATAGGCATACTAAAAAGACTTAGCTATTGTCTTCCCAAACATTTATTGAGATCGGTTTACTATACATTAATACATTGTCATTTGCAATATCTAACCTTAATTTGGTATCCAACATGTGAAAGAATCATAAAACCTCTTAAAATATTGCAAAATAAGGCCATCAAGAATATCTATTCACTTCCTTTCAGATACAATACAGATGATCTTTATAAAAATTATAATATTCTTAATCTAGCTAAGATATATGATTATCAGGTTTGTTTGTACATTCATCAGGTGAAAAGTAAAGCACGTCACTCCAATTTAACATTCAACACAAGAAGTCAAATACATAATTATGAAACAAGAAATAATGGAGACATTACACTTATTGCAGTGAATTCAAACTTATCGAAAAGATCCATCTTGTACAATGGGGCAGTTGTTTATAACCAGCTTCCCACTGGAATTAAAAGTCATAATCACTTGTTTAAAAATAAACTAAGGAACTACCTTGAAAACATGTAAATAAATAATGATGTTAGAAAATGCTTTGCCCTTGAATGCTAAATGTTTGCTAGCTCTCTAGTGTTTGTGAAAAAGTCTACTATATATGTATATGTATATTGACTAGTTTTACTACTACCAGTACCTCAGTATTATTATTATTATTATTATTTTTTCCTACTGTGTATTTGTTAATATTTGTACTTGTATATATACTGTACTATTCCAACCAAGCAGAGAAGCCTCTGTGGAATCTTTGTATTTTTTTGGCTTGACAAATAAATCTTCTATAAATTCAAGATAGCGGATCCAATATGGCGAACGAATTTTGTAATAAATAGTTGTTTGAAAAATCAATTAAACACGCGTTCGTGTTCGATACTTAGTCAAATTAAGAAGACGTAGAAAATAAATTGTAGTTTAAAAAACTGAAGAGATAGATTGCCGAGCTGAAAAGGAGTATACAATGAAGTATTTTGAAAAACTAAAAAGAAGTAGAAAATAAAATAAATAGAGTGTGGTGGTAAATATTTATCTAAAAGAATATTTTCTAGAAATATTGTGGATAGCAAAACAACGTTTGCCAAGTCAGCTAGTAATGATATTTATTATTCTTTCCCAATACTCTTTATTTTCCTATTCTCTTTTGAAAAAATGGTGAAATGTGCTGTGTTAGGCTGTGCCAATCAGTTAGATGGCAAATTTAAATGTGAAAGCTTTCCAACAGATGAAGATAAACTCAAAACATGTAAAGTAAACTACTGCTCAGCTTGAAATCAGAATTCATTCAGTCAATTCAGTCAACCCTGGTATATAGTCTAAGAACAGTCTCTTTTGGTGCAATATATTAAGCATTGAGTACAATTTATATGTTCCCTACCTGGCAAAGATTATGCTGGAGTAGTAAATTCTAAAACTAGAGGATTGTTCATCTATATCTTGGTATTGTTGAATCAGGAATTCCATATGGAAATTACGTATGATACGCCAATGACCTCAATATAACCTAAAAAACAACAAATGTCAAAAATCTAGTGTTTATCCGCAGAATTGAATAAGGATGGAACTATATAAGTGTTTCACAAACATTCATTATTCAAATTTTTTTTGGGATTTTCTCTCCTCGTTTCTATAAAATAAAAATATGAATATTATTTCAATATACGTGTAATAAGGACAAATCAGATGATTTGCCCCAAAATGTCACTGCGTTTAAAGAATTTTCCTATCAGAGAGCCTAAAAGAAAAATTCACTAGCTTGTCAGTGACAATTTGTATTGAAAAATTTTTGGAGAAGAGAAATAAAGGTATATAGAAAAAATATCAAATTTTCACTTATCTTTGGACGTTTCGGGACCGATTCTGCTCCCGTTTTCAACATGAAGAGATTTTTTCTATTGCGAAGTCGTATAATATGTCTTGAAGCTTTTCAGTTTTCAATGACAATTGGTGACGTTGGCAATCAAAGGAGTTACAGGATGTTTTCGTTAATTAATCTTGACAAGCTAGTGAATTTTTCTTTTAGGCTCTCTGATAGGAAAATTCTTTAAACGCAGTGACATTTTGGGGCAAATCATCTGATTTGTCCTTACTACACGTATATTGAAATAATATTCATATTTTTATTTTATAGAAACGAGGAGAGAAAATCCCAAAAAAATTTAGAATAATGAATATACCACCTCCTCGATTAACCTACAGACAGTGTTTCACAAACACTTTAGAGTGAGAGGAGACGAGGATCTGTCCGTACCCTGTTGAGATGACTAACGTCAATTTCCATCAAGGGACCCTAATATGCACTAACAAGATGAACTATCCTTATGAGAGAAAGTAAGCCAGAAATTCTATTCACTTTTTGTTGAATAGGGTAGAGAACTCTAATGCACAATATATTGGAAGTTCATATATTGATGATTTTATGTCAGAAAAAATGTCGAATCAGGGCCGGATTGAAATATTTTTATTTGAGAGCCTTCAGATTATCAATATAATATTAGTGATTTTTCTGCTTCAGAAAGAAGGATATACCTATATAGTTTGGCAACCTGTAGATAGATGGACTCGAGTCCATCTCTACGTCAAAATCGTAAATTCATTGCAAAAATGCAATGGAATAATTCTGCACCGCCATAACATACATAACCATGATACAAGAAACCAGAATGATATAGAACTGCCGAATGTAAGAACCAACATTGCACTAAATAATCCTATTAGTCGTGCCGTACAAGAGTATAACAGGCTTAATGATGAAATAGGTCATAGTTATAGCTAGTTCAAGAAAAGCGTTAGTATATATTATCAATTACAATATATACTAATAACAAACTGTACATTAAATGAATCATACCAGGATTATACATACTAGATTTTATTACTTATCTGTAAATAGTTGTCATCAGTTCTAAGAACTAAAGCCAAATTTGGCTTCAACATTTCACATGGATGTAGATCATTTTGTTAGTTTAAATAATTAAGGATTATTGTCAAGTTTATTGAAAACTGACTCAGTGAGATGTCCCACCATGAGAAACAATTAAAAAAGTTGGCATATTGCTTTAAACCAATTCTCATAATTTTTCATTTGAAGGGAGATGTTAGAAGCTGGGAACAAGTTGAACAGAATGGAGAGAGTCCACCGACCTGCTGCAATTTTCCTGTAGCCGTTGCCAGAGATTGCATGTTTGTTTTCAGTGGCCAGAGTGGGGCCAAAATAACAAATTCTCTATTCCAGTTTCGATTTAGAGATAAAACGTAAGTGTATCCCTAGCTCATGCAAATACAAAAAATATGAATAGCTCAAAACCGTAAACTTTACTGATCAATTGATAATATACCTTAAAAACGAGAAGAAATTCCTTGATACAGATTTTTTTGGATGAAATATTAAATGTGAACTGTATACCAGAAATAATACACTCAAGTGAATCATCCAGTGATGTAATGCTATTTTTGTTAAAATATAAGATGTTCGAGTCACTCAATTCAGAAGAATGTAGATGACCTTTCCACTTTTTTGAGTAATTTGATTGTTTTGAGGTAATACTTTATATCATTGAACCGCATCGACCATCAAAAAGCCCGGGCGAAGTGGTCTTGGATCATTCGGCCTTGGTCTTCGATAACAAAACGTCATCATTTGTTGGTTGGCAATCGAAAACAACTGGAAGGGACTAAGGGAGACTGCTGTTTTCACGAATAGCACAGAGTGTGTCAGGGGCAGCTGCAACAAAAATAGCTTGTGTTTGATGGCGGATTGGTGTATAAATTTTCTTTTATCCAATAATTGGTGTACTTGAGATCTTTTTTTATCTAAACAGATAATAAAAGTGAAGACAGAACTTCATAGTTTTTTGTTATGTGAAGTATCGCTGAATTTGGCGTGTTTTGTTTCTTCAAAAGGACTGAATTTATTGGTGTGAATTGATTGTTTTTGAAAAGGTTTGTGATTTTGATTTAATAAACAATGGTTATTTATATTGTGTTGCCTCTGGATGCAAAACAAGCAAGACAAACAGAAATTGTCCTTCATGGGTGAGTTGAAAATTGTTCATATCCTTTGAAAAACTGTAGTAATTCATTTTCCGGATGCGTCTGTTTATGTGTGTGTGGATGTTCATAACTTAGATTCTAAAGACGATGTTTTTCATATGGACATTGATTTACCTACAACTTCCAGCTCGCAAGTTTCAAAGTTTATTGATAATGAAACCTGCAAACTGTTCCATTCCAGAAGGGCTGTTCTATTGCAAAGAAAAGTGAAAACACTGAAACAAAAAGTAACAAGAAGAATGACAATCTTGATGAGGTACTAAAAAACATTTTAAAGGTTCAAACTACAAGTTCAAATGTTTAAACTCAAGAGCTACATCATACTGTCTTTTCAGGTTTGCCTATGGAGCTTCTCCTTCTCCAGAAAAGAAAAAAGGTGTACATTCTGGGCGGCACAGATTATCTTGATGAAACAATTCGTCCAATTCCAATTCGTGTGACATTTGACTTTCATTTGACTTCCTAATCCTGTAAGAATAAAAATGAAACTTCACTTTTAAGTCAATAAAAAAATCAATAATAATGGTTGATAGATAATTGATTGGAACAAGTATATCCTTTTTCCTAAATGAATATTTATATTTAATCACCTCTACTCCTAAATAATAGCAAAAAAACAAGAAAATATTACAAATAATGCAAGCTCTTTCCATTAGCCAACATGAGATTAGTAAGAGATAGTAACAGATAGGTATTGGTAACCACTGCGGGTTGCCTGAACAATCTTTTTGCCTCAGCCTCCCTCACTCATCGTTTACAGAGGATCCCCTCCTTCCAGTTGTTTACATAGAGTTCATTGTGTTTTACAGAAAAGTGAGGTAGTGTTTCAATGTTTTACCAAAGAAGAGATACTATTCTTTGGTTTTACCTCCATGGTCGGTCATCGTGCACGCGACCTATTGCATTTTAAATTAAAGTTTCGATTGAGTAAAAGTTTGGAATATGAGCAAGTGTATGATATCATTGCGGGTCATTGAGTTCAAAACTCGGGAAATTGTTATTTTCTTTATAGTAGTGATGAAGACACTGATTAGGTACTTGGCAGCACAAATCCGATTCGTATATCTCTACCAAGGAAGCAAGCTGAAGGCAATTTATTTTACCTCTCACGAAAGGTCATATTTTTTTCTTCTCGTGGGAGTAAATTGACAGGTTTGTGTCCTTGAATGAGGGAGTAAACGCTACACTCAGTATATTGAACAACAATACTCTCTGTCTCATACTTGGGGAATAAATATTTGAAATCAGTTGATAAGAATCATCGATATCAGGAAACAAGTTTGAATTGAAAATTTTCATCCTGTATTTCAATTAGAGGCGAATTTTCGAAAACGTCTCGAGTTAATAGTCTAATATGAATAATGGATATCGATAAGGCCGTTTCTGAATATACTGAATCGAATGGGCCATGGTTTTAGTCACCGTTTTTTATTTTTTTTACTGAAGTGAGATTTTGTCCTATTTTCTTATCATCCTGTATATTCCACAATAGTGCTCTCTTCGTCTTTCATTGTCCTCTACGAAACATGAGAACAGTTCTTCCCAATAGTCACCTCAAGCGGAGTTCTAGAGAAAAAATTCAAGAAATGCAAGACTCGAAAAAAAATCGAATTTTTGTTCCAATGGCCGATTAAGGAGAAATCACGAAAACGTCCCGAGATAAGGTCCCAGTGTATATGACTGATTTTTGATCAGAAAAAAATTTCTCGAGTTCTGGCAGCATTGGAAATGTAGACCATAGTGTAATGGTTCCAGTTTACACCCTGTGTTTTGTTCTGCGGACTTTTTCAGAGTGTTCTAGCTCTCTTTGAAGCCGATATCGAAAACCGCATGAAGATCGGTCAATTTTTTCAAGAAATACAGGTCTTCGAAATAGAGTTGAGTGGTCCATTTAGTGTGTTGAGAACTGTATAATATCTAAGTGTATAACGATGAATATCAATTTATCATACATCAGGAAACAAAGTAATTTCAATATTGATTGTTATGTGATTTCAACGATGTTATGATGATTTCAACGATGAAATCAACGAACACTGCTATTGCGGAGCTGTGCTCGCATGTTTATGATTCCTTGAACTCTAAAAGATTTTCTGTCACACTATTTTTTGATCTAAGTAAAGCATTCGATACAGTAGATCACTATCTACTTTTTCAAAAGTTGTACCATATTGGTGTTCGAGGAACACCATTAAATTGGATCATTTCGTATCTTCAAGATCGCAAACAAATAATTATGCTGGAAGATACAAAATCAGAAGAAAAAACTGTCAACGTAGGGGTTCCCCAGGGATCAATACTGGGTCCAATACTGTTCATCATTTTTGCCAATGACATTAATTTAACGTGCACACAAGCACACAATATAATGTATGCGGATGACACAACCATGATGATCTCTGAAAACAGCATTGAAACTACATTGTGTAATGCCAATATCGTTGCAAATCAATTTTATAAGTGGTGCAATAGTAATGGTTTGTGTGAATATAAAAAAAAACCAATTTAATTTCTTTCATTCCAAGAAACATCAATAATGATTTCTGCTCTTTAATAAGGATCAATGGCAAAAGCATTGAACAGGTTACGGCAACCAAATTCTTAGGGGTCACTCTTGATCACAAAATGAGCTGGGAGAACCATATCAACATATTGAATAATAAAATGAGTAGAAACTGTTTTGTAATACGGCAACTAAAAAACACAGTATCTCTTGATATATTACTGTTGGTCTACTATGGTCTGGTGCAGTCGAATATATCCTATGGTTTGATTTTTTGGGGGAACTCAAGTCACATTGACAAAATATTTATGATGCGAAAAAAAATCATCAGGTGTATCAAAGGTGTCAATCAGAGAACATCAAGCAAACAAATTTTTATTGATTTATCTATTTTAACAGTACCATCATTGTATATATTTCTCACAATTTTAAATGTTGAAAAACAACTGGGAACATTTGTTCGAAACAGTTCTCAGCATAATTACAATACTCGAGGAGCAAACAACTTGTATCAACCATTCTCAAGACTTACCATTGGGCAAAATTCTCATTTGTATAAAGGTATTGTCACCAAACATGGCTTTCTACTCTAAAAGTTATTAAAAGTATCAATAATTATCATTTCATTCATTAGAAATGAAATAAACTAGAAATGGTTAAGTTTTGTAGTCATTTAAACTTTAAACCAATCGGCTTCTAGATTTCATGAAAAACGCTGTAGGCGGAGCCTAAGAGAGTGCGAGAATTTTAGTTCCAACTGCGCGATTTGGAATTAGCCAATCAGCGCGCAGAGACTGCGAGAACGCGGTAGGCGGAGCCTAAGAGCTTTCCGCGTATAGGGATAAATATTGGCCAAATTGCCGCTAGCGACAGTTCTGATTCAAGTTCGCTACCTATAAGGTTAGAGTTCTGATTCGATTTCGTTACCTATAAGGTTAGAGTTCCGATTCGACTCCGCTACCTGGTTGGTAGTGTTTTTAATAGTTCTGAGTGAACTACTAGTATTTGAGTTGCGACTCCACATCACTCCCATAGGGTTGGATGTGTACTACTATAAGAAGAAGCCGATTGATATTTGAGAAGATTAATCCAAAAGGGATATTACATAGAAGAAGCCGATTGATATTTGAGAAGATTATCCAAAGGGAATATTACATAGAAGAAGCCGATTGATATTTGAGAAGATTATTCCAAAGGGATAGAAATATTAGAAGAAAGCCGTTTGGTATTTCCGACGATTATTCCACCAGGGTGGATGAAGAATAGAGGTCTACAGCCAGCTCTTGAATACGAACCAAAGTGGGTGACCAACCAAATTGGTTGGATTAGAATTCGTTGCTCCAATGAGAAAACTGTCCTAATGGGACAAAATCAAAGGTCATCATTCCCACCTACCGAATAAAGATCCTAATCCTCCCTTATCTTATTGCAAGAAAGAAGAGCTCCAGTACGGTACCAAGGCTCCAAGACTAAGGACCTTTGTGGTTGAGCCTGGCCACATCCCTTGGTACCTCGTCGTAGCAACCACTGGCATTCCGGAATGCCTTCTGGTGCCGTCTAACTCTAGGGATACGTTAGTAGCCAGGAGGTGAAAGCATTGCACTTCCCTAGGGTGACGTTAAACGCCTTTAGTGTACCTGCGGGACACACGGTTCGCGTCGGGAATTAGGGCAGGATAATTTTAGGGACTTAGAGGCCT